CCCTCGCAATGCGCGAGTTATCGTCCAATAGCGCTGCTGAGAATGTAGACAAAAAAAAATATATGCAAAGGTTCTGGCAAATAGACTGAAAGAGCTGATGCCGGAGTTTTTGTGGATACATGGAGACCAGGTAGGGTTTGTCACGGGAAAAGAGAGGGTAGAGATAATGCTTTGAGATCATTGTTTGCTTATACAGGCTGGGGTAAAAAAGGGAAAACCCCAATGATACAGATGTCAATAGATGCTGAGAAGGCATTTGACAGAGTGAGCTGGGGTTTTATGATGGACACTTTGGAAAATGTTAGGAATGGGAGATAGAATGAAGAGGCTGGATTGGAGAGTTTATAACAGGGGGCCTACCGCTACCATAATGGTTTAAAAGGAGGAAGATCAGAGTATTTTAAGATGTCAAATGGTACAAGACAGGGATGTCCATTGTCTCCATTGCTATATGTTGCTATCTCTGGAGCCCTTACTGTCTAGGTTTAGGAAGAACATTGACATAAAGGGAATAAGGATAGGAGATAGAGAACATAAGGTAGTGGCTTATGCGGACGATCTGATGTTTTATGTTGGTAGCCCTAGAACATCATTACCAAATTTAATGAAAGCATTGAGGGAGTATGGAGACCTGTCGAACCTGAAAAATTAACCCGACAAAGACCCGAAATCTTAAACATAAATCTCAAAAATAGTGAAAAAGAAAAACTACAAGAGGAATTCCTTTTCTTTGGAGAGATAAAGAATTAAAATATATCTAGGAATAAAACTATCAGTCTCAAATAAGAACCTTTATAAAGCCAATTATATCTCGTTATTAAATAAAATGAAGGAGGAGTTAAGAAGAGTGAGAAATGGAAACCCATCGTGGATAGGTCGTATAAACTTGATAAAAGATGGTAATTGTTCCAAAGTATTATATAAATTTCAAATGATCCCAATCAAACTCCCAGAGGCATATTTTAAAAGAACTGAGGAAAATGATAATAAAATGTATATGGAGGAATAAAAAAAAAAGCCTAGAATAGGTTATGAAACGTTGACTAGAAGTAAAGAAATTGAGGAGGATTGGTGGGTACCAGATTTTAAGAGATATTACAAAGTGGGGATTATTGCAAGAATCTTTTGACTGGATTCATAATCCGGAGAAAAGTTGGGGTTAAAGTTGAGAAAGCACTGAGTGGAATAAATTTGAGTAATAGTATATGGGTACCTGCACAATACAGAGAATTAGAGGAGGAGAGCACAAGTACGTTACACCTTAAAATGTCTTAAAAGAATGGGATTTATTACATAGACAAAGGGGTGGGTCTTTAATTCACAATTAATTCCACTTAGAACACAAAATATTTCATCCCGGGTAAAAGATTGTATAGCAGGGAAATGGATTATAAAACAGGAGGCGCAATTGAGAGATATAATGGTAGGAGAGGAAATTGGGTCATATAAGAATATGGAGGAAAGAAAGGGTGAAGTCTTTAATAAGATGGATAGATTAAGATATTACCAACTGAAGAATTTTTTTGATAGCCTTCCTAAGCCTATTTAGACTACTAGAAAAAAACTGGAATCCATTTGAGAGAATTTTTAGAGTCACTGGGAAATGGTAGACACGGAATGGCAAAAATACACAAGATATTAATGGAACTTGACACAGACACAAAATTAATACACATAGTGAAATGGGGAAAGAGATTTGGGAAGAAAAATAGAGGAGAGAAGAGAAGAAGAAGATGTTCACATTAATTCACGAAAATTATTAGTATGAGAGAAGTGGAAATAAACTATAAATGTTTGATTAGATGGCACATCACCCCCTATTTGGAGCACAAGATGAATATAGAAATTTCACAGATGTGTTGGAGAGGTTGTGGAGAGGTGGGCACGTGGTATCATATCTGGTGGGAGTGTTCAGAAATACAGGTGTTTTGGCGAAGGATAGTTTACTTGATAAGGAAGATCACTAAAATCAATATAGGATTAGATCCAGAATTATTATGTCTCCTCCATATCTCAGAACTCCCAGTGAAAGCTTATAAGAGTTCAGGGATATGGTACTACTTAACCGCAGCAAAAAGCCTGATACCCAGGTACTGGAAGAAAAGAGAAGTGCCAACTGAGGAAGATTGGAAGGGTAGAGTAAATCAGATATCTGGGACAGAAAGATTGTATTATATGCACGAGGACAAGTTGGAGATTTATAATAAAAAATGGAAAGGATGGGGAGAATATAAAGAAAGGGTGAAATAGATGATGAAGTGACTATGCCCCTGGTAGTCAGTTTAGAATTGGATTCAGGAACAACAGTTTTATTTTTATTTTTATTTTTATATGGAGTAAATGAGAGAAGAGAGAATGTGGAGCGTGGGGGGTTGGAGGGAGAGGGGGGGGGGGGCATGGGGAGGGGGGATGGAAAGAAAAAAAAGGTCATATATAGGAATAAATTATATAATGAGAAAATATGTTTTGATAAATATTTTAATAGAAATGTTGAAATTGACTTGTATATGAAGTGAAAAATTAATAAATATTTATAAAAAAAAAAAGAAAAAGAAAAGCTACAATTTCTGGGGGAAATTGTGTGAAGTGTTTCTTGCCTCCACCAGTAGTCTACAAACTGGAGTGGGCAGAGTAACGGGGTGGAGTGGCTTGTCACTCTGCTGCCTGCTCACACACCTGGATTCCTATGGCAACTCACTCTACAGCAAGGGCAGAGAACAGTGGTTAAAAACAAACTGCTCCAACTTGCTCACTTTTACTGGCGGTTGCCATCTTCAAATGGTTGTAGTTTAAAAATTATAAATCCTTTATACTGTGAGAATCACAAGACCCAGACCTACATTTTGATGCATAGTGTGTCTCTGAAATATTAAAATGAAGGCACAGTCGCAGTTTAGAAATTGCCCTTCAAATTTGAAGTGGCTAGAGTGGAGTTTCAATGAATGTCAATGGGCGGGCGTGAGTTGAAAACAAATGGTCATATTGTGAAAACTATCAGGACTATGGCTTATCTGTGGACATTTTTTTTAGTGGCAGCAGGGATAGCTGAACGTTTTGATATAAGATTTGTGTAGGTGGGCTTGAAAAATGAGGGGGAGTGATGGCAGTTTAGAAATCATGTCCTGATTTTTCAGCTCACACTCCAGCTTTTGTCAGCTCCCACTCTAGTGCTGAACATTCTGCCATTCATTCCTATGGGACCAATTTCACCACAAAAACGCAGATATTTCGTGAACCATTTGGCGAAACATTCCGCAAAGTAATAGCACATCAATCGGGAACAATCCTCACATTTCGGTATATTACTGTCTATGTAGTGTAAAAACTGTGGGAGGAGTTAGGGTGGTAAATTTGGCTATAATAATAAGAATATATATGTGAGATAACAGTAAGTGGTCTTGCCATGCAAGAACACTTAATTAGGTAAATATGTGAAAAGAAACATTTCAACCTGCTTTGTGGAAATAAAATACGCACTATTTTAGATCTACTGAACTAAACACATTGTTTTTTAAAAAATAGTTTTTGGTACTCTGAGCATAATACATATGGAAAATACATACAAAACCAGTGAAAAAAAGAGCTATTGTGTACACTAACACAATAACAGTCAATCAAGTTTCATGTTTCATCAGTTTACTGCAGGTAGGGCATTGGAACTTGCTGACTGGTTACTATGCTGTCCGTTATGTAATGTTCACACTAATTTATTTAATTTAATAGAAATGAATAGCCTTGTCTACAACTGACAGTTTTATTCATGCATTACATCAGTAGTTAGTAGTAGATTAGTAAATGGTATTTGTACTACCACTATGACATGTGACGAAAGGCTCATTGCTCCAAGTATACATATAAATATTTATAACATTCTCTTGCACAGATCAATGCAGAGCTTTATAGCTGACTGCATGTGCCTAGAGGCATAGTACCAATTACCAGATCATGCCTTTGGCTATCTCTTAGGAAGTACAATAAAGATTGCTTTGGAGAAAAGACAGGGCTGCTGTTGGGTCTGTTTCAAGATAAGAATGTATATATGGATCTTAAGTATCACAAGTTTTCTCTTCAACCTCTAATCGTGCAGACATGAGATATTATTATGACTCACTCTACAGAATATCTGATATGTCATTGGGTAGTTTCATGACTGTCAATATCCATTTGTGCCAGAAAGTGTCTGTGTTGCTCTCCACAGTCTTTTGGGATCCAATAGTAATTTTACCAATCACAGGTATGAAAAAAAGTCAGACTTTTTTTTTATTTTCACTTGTTAATCCTGTCACTAACACTCTTTGCCCCAGGGAGACACACTCACTTGTTGTGGCTGAGATTGTTAAACCTAGACAAATCTAAGGTCAAATAAATTAACCACTTGCCCTCCAGAGGATTTACCCCCTTTCCTAACCAGGCCATTTTTTGCATTACGGTGCTGTATTACTTTAACTGATAATTGCGCAGTCATGCAACACTGCACACAAATAAAATTTATGTCCTTTTTTCCCCACAAATAAAGCTTTCTTTGGTATTTGATTGCCTCTGCATATTTTATTTTTTGCACCATAAACAAAAAAAATACCGACAATTTCGAAAAACCCCCCCCCCAATATTTTTGACTTTTTGCTATAACACATGTCCAATAAAATTAAAAAAAAAATCTAATTTCTTCATAAATTTAGGCCAAAATTAAATGGAGCTTTTTTTTGGTGGTATATGATCGCCTCTGCGTTATTTTTTTTTTTGCGCAATAAACAAAAAAAGACCAACAATTTTGAGAAAAAAACAATATTTTTGACTTTTTGCTATTAGACATGTCCAGTAAAAAAATAAAAAAATAATAATTTTGTCATAAATTTAGGCTGCTACATGTCTTTGCTAAAACAAAATCCCAATATGTGTAAATTAATTGGTTTACGTGAAAGTTATAGCATCTACAAATGGTGATATATATATACTGGAATTTTTTTTTTTATACTAGTAATGGTGGTGATCTGCGACTTATAGTGGGACTGCGGCGGGCATTCTGACACTGGGGGAGGAACTGACTGCCACTGACATCCCAATGACACTAATACAGTGATCAGTGCTAATAAAAGGCACTGGCACTGTACTAATGACACTGGGCAGGAAGTGGTTAACATCTGGGGTGTTTAAAGGGTTAACTGTGTGCTGTTTTACTGTGTGTACTGTGCATGTTTTACTAGGGAAACATGCTGCTTTGTATTAGTCTGCTATGCAGAGCAATACAAAGCATGATGTTGGTGCTGACTGGGGAGAGATGTGTTGCTTACACACAGACCTCTCCCCTTTCATTGTTCCTCAGAGACCACCGGTGCCAGTGGGAAATCTCCGGCCGGGACCGGTGTGATCGACATCTGTAGCCGCCAATGGCGACGCGGGTAGGGTGGAGTGTTTGCGTGTACTCCTACCCGGAAATGCAAAATCATGTATAGATACATGATTTTGCGCAGCCCTGCCACCACCCAGTAGCAGTGGTTCTGTTTATAGGGAGGCGAGGAAACGGTTAATTTGATTTTTTAAGAAACATTAAAAAGCATCAAGTGACTGCTAAAAGGGGAGTCCATGTCTTTTTGAGATAAAGTTGAATAGGGATAAACCATGAGGGTACAATCAGATCTGGGACTGCATATGTTTTCACATGTTGGCTCACATATGCCATCTTGATTCAGGAACCTATCTCAAGTGACTGCTAAAAGGGAGTCCATGTCTTTTTGAAATAAAGTTGAGCAGGGATACCCCATGAGAGTACATTCGGATCGGGGACCTGCATATGTTTGCACATGTTGGCTCACATTTGCCACCTTGATTCAGGAACTTATCTCAAGTGACTGCTAAAAGGGAGTCCATGTCTTTTTGAAATAAAGTTGAGCAGGGATACCCCATGAGAGTACATTCGGATCGGGGACCTGCATATGTTTGCACATGTTGGCTCACATTTGCCACCTTGATTCAGGAACCTATCTCAAGTGAATGCTAAAAGGGAGCCCATGTCTTTTTGAAATAAAGTTGAGCAGGGATACCCATGAGAGTACATTCGGATAGGGGACCTGCATATGTTTGCACATGTTGGCTCACATATGCCATCTTGATTCAGGAACCTTTCTAGCTGATTGCTAAATAGGTTACCATCTACACTGATGGTAAATTCATATACTGCAGCCTTTGTTTGCCAAACACATTGAATGTAAAAATATGTTGCTTTTATGTCTCGTGTTTCCGTAAGGTTAATCACAGAACGCACATGCCAAACAATTTTTTAATAACCTAAAGGCCTGGCTCACTATAACATATGCATATGCCAAACAAAAAGGCATATAAGAAAACCCTGTACGATATGCTGTCATATGAAAACGTAAGCGTACGTATGTGTATTTGTTATTGGAATCCTATTCCAACAGATGGAGTCTCATATGCTGACAATTCCTTGCAGTTCTGGGCCTGCTCACAAAGATCGATCTCCACATATGGTTCTCGGATGACTTTTAAAAATTAGGATATTTCACAGTCTCCTTTAACAATAGCCATGTGAAGTTAATCAGGTTGTATTCCTATGTGCTACAAGCATCTAAAAATGCATTGAGACCAAAAACCTTAGAAATCATCACATTTTGTTAGGCATGGCACAGCTTAACTGGTGTACATTTAGACACTGGAGCATACATTTTATAACAAATCACCCCTGTTGATAAAAGTATTGTATATTTGATGTAGCCTGTAGTGCATGCTCATCTGAATGCATTGCAAATATATAATACATTTTGTGAGTGTAGAATTGTTTTGACATCTAGGTAATTACTCCCTCTACTTTGCTCAGTAACCAGACTCTCAGCATTCCTGCAGAACATTATCAGTGTTGCTCTGTTTTACACAGCAACCAGTGGGGAAAACAACACTACACATAGATACTGATTTATAAAGCTTAGGCATGTATGGTAGTGCATAAATATAGTGGATTGACTTACAAGTGTATTTTGCTATAGAGGGTACACTGTAGCTTTTTAAATGTACTTCAGCTATTCTGTGGCTTGGTTTTTGCATCTACCTAATCAAAGGATTTTTGCATGAACAACTAATTTGGGACCACAACCTCATACTGTGCATGCTGATATAATTAAAAGGCAACTGTAAAAAAAAAAAACCATTAAAAGTAAACAAAAAAACAGTAAATTCTGTGCTAAGGGTATCACCATTTACATGTCCAAATGTACACATTGTGGTTGCAGCAAATACAAATGCATGGATTTATACACTGCTACCTAGTATTGAGATTCTGGATAAACACCTGAACATATGCTGCCTTTTTTGTAACAAAAGCATGACATACAGATTCCTTTGGCCTGGTAATTTGCTTGATCCATGTGTACACTTTTATTTTGTATTTTTTTATTTACTGGTTATTTGAAAGAAGCAGCCTATGACTTAATGAAGTGTAGCAGCCTTGATTGGTGCCTTGTGCTGCTTCTCCCTTTACCCCGCTGTATAGACTGTACACTAGACTGCAAGAAGACGATACCAAACCAAATTCAAGTACTTCCACTGCCTGCATTTAAAAATAAAATCATGTAATGAGTAATTATTTAATTAATTTGTGGCTTTTTGTGTCTGCCTGGAGTTCAGAGTTAAATTTTACATTTTGTCTGTAATTCTCATTTAGCCAACCTTAATAACAAGTACAAATCTAGATTACAGAATTAGGAAAAGCCTTCATTTCTGTATAAACCTTCACCATAGGTTTTAGTTAAAAAAATAAAAGAGATTAAAATGTTTTTTACAATTTAGAACCAGTATTTCAGACGATTGAATGGTGCATGCTCAGGGTGATCAGCAAATGTTTCAAAATGTGATATGAAAAGTATTACATAGTTACAAAAATAGCTGTCAGTGTGAACATGTTTTATAATAATTGACCAGCATTTCCCTTGCTGTTACTGTTGTAATGACATTTTCTTTACATTGGCCTATTATCAACAAAAAAATCAAATAGCTGCTGACTTAGTAATGTAATACATTCATAATCCGATCAGCAAACAGAAGAAGCTTTAATTCCTATTTTGAAATAATTTGGACAGCGTAATGGGAAAACCCTTGTGCACCAGAAATACAGATTTATGGTATTTCCCTTTCACTCTATTATCAATCTGCTCTTCCCTTTGTGTCATTCTGGCTAAGGTTTACCTAGGTTCATTTTCATAGTCTCATTACATTTAGCACAAAATAGTAATTAGATTCTCATCCCAATAGACTTTGTGCATGAATAATCATAATGTGTCCATTTCATGCCAATCTCTTTCTGTCTCACTCAGTGACATCAGAAATACCCAAAGCTTATCACTGACCCACTTTTCTCTTTACAGTTTCTTTGATTTTAAACACACTTGCATGTCCCGATCACTGGATTAATCCACAAGATGCTTTTCTCTTCTGATTTTATTTTGATTATATAAGAGCTATCTTTTACTCTGGCTACAAAAATTGAACAGATTAGGCAATCTTGGCATCACTAATCAACAACAGGCAAGGATATATAAACAAACACGCTCAGAAATACAGACAGATAAATGAAATTAGGCACACATATACTGCCTGTATTTTATTATCCAGTGATCAATACCTTAATTGGACAGATGGGAAAAATGTTCACACATACAGCAAAGATGAACTCTTTTTTAATAAACCTAAAGACCCTCCTCTTTAATTATCAGAAAAGTGAGGCTGATTTGCTTAAAGTGGAACTTTAGTCAGAAATTTACTAGATCACTTCATGATGGCTCCTTTTGCAGCTATAGCTATGAAAAACATTATAAAATAAGTGCCTATACTGTTTAAAATCCAGTAATTCACCCTGCCCTGCACATTGCTGTCTATTTTTTGGCACTGTGCCAAAAATCAGAGCCACTAGAGGCTGATCTGCTGACAGCCTAAAGATTTACTGCTTCCCCTGGGGCTCTGGGATTGGTAGCCTCCAGCAAGGAGAAACAGGAACAATGCTGGAAGCAGTTTACAGCACACGCTCATTTTGGTAACATAATTATTAATGTGGAATGTATTTTCTTTGCTAAAGAACATTATTTTTTATCAAGTTGTTATGGGAGAAGTTCCTCTTTAAGGAGTTGAGAAACTTTACTCAAAAAATGTGTGAGTATCTACTTCAATGAGCCAATCACGTGCAAAGCTAATTCCTGGTCACTTTGAAAACCCTATCATGTGCAAGTGAAAAAAGTAAACAGGAATCTGTTTTTCACATAATTGAATAATTAAATCGGAGTTCCACCTGAACAAAAAATACAGACAGTTACCTGTCCTCCGGTTCAGCGGTGTCCTCACCACCGCTGGTTTCACTGGCCTTATTCTCTCCCTGGCACCAGCATCTTCTGTTTGGGCACCTGGTTGTGACAGCTTGAGGCTTCACAGCCGGGTGTCCACTGTGCATGCGTGAGAAGTGCTCTGCTTTGTAAATGGACCCGTAGTCTTCTGGGACCTGTCACGTGTCCAAGAAGACTACAAGAAGGGAGGGGGAGAGGACAACTTCCAATTCCAATTGCCTAGGCAATCGCAGCGGAAGTGGGAGCGGGTTCCGCTCCCCAAAGGTGCCAATCCTTAATGGGGAGCAGGGAACAAACTCTTAAAATGGAACTTCCCCATTTGGGTGGAGCTTTCGCTTTAAAGTGAATATTAACAAATTTATTTATGTTTCTCTGTAAGAAAACATAAAATATTTATGATCAGGACTATTATTACCTTGGTGACAAAATTGGTCATGTTGTATTGTCGGGATTAAACTGCTTTAATCTCCACACTGCAACATGGCCAAGTCGGTATTACTATTAAGTGCTGTCACGTCGAACAAAGCTCTCAGCCCTGTCTGATTTGGCAGCACTTAATATTATTATTATTATAATACAGGATTTATATAATGCCAACAGTTTACACAACGCTTTACAACATAAGGGCAGACAATATAATTACAATACAAATTAATACAGGAGGATTCAGAGGGCCCTGCTTGTTAGAGCTTACAAACTAAGCTCTAATAATAAACGTATAGCTATAACCCTAGAATAAATACTTGTTTTTAAAGGATAAGTTCACCTTTTGTAAGAAAAAAAATAAATGTGCATCTATTTGCACATAAAAAAATTAGCATTTATATATTTTTTTACATTGCAGCCTGTACAGCATTGCACCTATGATTAGCAGATCTCGGGTGCAATGCCAAGATCCTGCAGACTCTAAGTAAACTGCCTGCCTGTCCCTCCCATATGGGCAGGCAATTAGTGGATGACAGGAAGAATCAATGAACTTTGAGAGCGCTGAGCAGTGCCCTCATAGTTCATTGAGAACTGCAAG